CCTTCCCCCGCAGCGGCTCTGCGCGAGCCCGGCGCCCCGCGGAGCCGCACGGCATTTTCCATTGACACATTGTACGGGAAATCTGCACGACACACGGGGCAGACAGCTTCGCTGCAGAAAGTGGCTCCGTTCTCCCCACGAAAAAAAACAAGTGTTTGTTTGGTTTCCACCCCCCCTGAAATTACCTCATTTCCTCAAATACGTTTGCCATGATTTAACACATTTAGGACTCCACTCAAGCTTTTAGCACAGGCTTTTAGTGTTTGCGGTCTGTCCTCTGCCTGGTTCTCTCTAAGGAAAAACAACCCGTTTTTTTCATCACCTCCCCCGCCAGAATGTGCCGATGGTAACTGTATGTTTAGGGAACTGCTTCTCTCGTGAATGCTTGATGCAGAAAAAAACCCCCAAAACAAAACCCAAAACCCCCAATCACCTCGCCCAGAACAAACGGAGAGCGTAAAAGAAGAGAAAAAGAATCCATTTACATTTCCCCCGAACTTTTCCGCTGCCCACTGCGTTCCACTGTTACCTTCCAACTCGCGTGGACTTTTGATAGCTAAACAAAACAGAAGAGCTTTCGTTTTCTCCTACCCCTTAGAAAAAAAGGAAGCCAGTTGAGATAATGAAAAGATTTAACAGCAACGCAGGGAAAACAGTTAAACTATATTATTTTCCCTCCAGATCGGTGCCACGGCTTGCCGTCTCTTTTTCAAAACTCCATCGCGAGTCGGAGGAAGCTTGCTCAGGACCTCCTGCGTGGCCTCCGAGCACACGCGGGCGTTGAACCTGAGTTCCCAGGTCACAGAGGTGTGCCGTCCTCTCCCTGACTCCCACCCCCGCTCCGCAGCAGCGCGGGGACCACGGGGACCCCGGGGCCTGGGACACGCCTGAACCGCAACGCAACGACGGCCGGGCGGCGATCAGAGCCGTGCTTTGCCGCTTAATTTATAGCCCGTTTAAACCAAAACCTGCTCGAATTAAAGCCTGTTTGTGCGCGAAGGCAGCTCCTCAGGACACCGTGCAATCATTCGCGGGACCCCAGCCCGGATAGCGGGGGGTGGGGCGGTGCTGACTCGGGGACGCGCCGGGTTTGTGTCCCTCCCCCCCCCCGGGGGGCATTCCGCCGGAAACCGGGGCC